AAAGCGAACATTTATCTTCCTTGATTTTTTTTGGGGGGGGGCAGTTAAGTTTAATCATTCTATAAGAAAGCCAAGGGTGTCTGGTCATGGAAATGGTCCTGTAACATTCATTTTAGCTTCTGATGTATAATTTGATCCAGGAATTCAGATAAAGATGGCAGTTCCCATACAGTTTACCAGTCCAAATAATGGTTACTTTATGATGGCCCCATAGAGCAAGGAACTGCATTTTTTTTCAGTGCCTTACAGATAACAAAACCAAAATTAAGTAACTACCCACAGTCACATGTGTCTGGGAAATGTCAGTCTGGTTTTGTACCATATCTAACTCCAGAACTTAGTCTGATCCACTCAGCCTCGCTGTTTTGCTGCAGGAGCGGCACTGATGAACCGCAGTCATTGTGGTGGTGTGGTGGTTTTCTTCTCGTTTGTGGTCCTCACTGGCAGCTTGGCTCAGAGGCCAAAGAAAGGAAGCTCCTAAGGCACCTGTTTATCACCAAGGATGTTAGTGACACAAACTCTCAGGTTCTGTGATTTGTGATTTTGCTATATCCACAGAAATTAAAGAGAAATGTTTTTCTTTAATCCAGTGGGCACATCTTTTAGAGAAGCAGAAACAAACTTCAATCGTATTTTTTACAGTTTTTTCTCCTCTTCCCTACTCGTTGAGAGATTTCCAAAGGTGGTTACTGTTATTGCACTACTGGGGAATGAACATAGGCCCTTGAGTGTGCTAGACATACTCATACAGTGAGCTACACACCCAACCTCACAAAAGTAAGTTTTAAATCTCAGATTCGTGAGGCCCTACATGTATGTATACCTTGTACATGCCTGGTGCCTGCAGTCCAGAAGAGGGCATTGGATCTCCTGGATCCTGTTACAACTGGTTGTGAGCTGCTATGTGGGTGCTAGAAACCAAACCTGGGTCCTCTGCAAGGGCAGCAGGTGCTCCCAACCACAGCCATCTCTCCAGCCCCATGTTGCTTTTTTAGGCGATGGTCTGCGGTTCAGTCATAAGAACACAGGGGGAGGGGGGTTTGACACAGGGCAGTTTTTTTCAGTCCCAGAGAGATAGCCATTGCACACTGGGTGGGTCACATGGAAGAGCACACCAAGCAGGCCTACAGTCTGGTGGGAACTGAGAGCATGCACACATGCCTTGGGAACAGTGAAGTACACAGCAAAGGGGTGAGAGTGCACCTGTGCATTAGTGTTTCTGGGTGATGGAGCAGAGTACCAAAGAACCATACTGGTGTACCTGGGTTGCCTGGGCCAGACGTTTATTGTGGACTTGGATGAGGTGCTGAAGCATCAGGAAAATGGGAAAAATTTTAAGTGTACAATACAAAATGCAAACATAAGTACTTCAAAATATTTACCTATTAACATCAACCAACTCTTTACTTTTCTTTGTATAGTTACTGTTTGGCCAATGACTAGTTGATTTACACCAGTGAGTAGAGAAGTATGTACCTGACTAATTGCCAAAGACAAGGCCTGGGGTGTGAAACGGTGGCTCAGCCCATGGTTAGCATTCATGAGGCATTGGGTTCTGTCCCTAGTACAGAGTGAATTTTCAATGCACTCTTTGGTCTTATTAAATGGTACACATGCCCCATTTTAACCAACTGTTTTTCTCCTAGCCTGTGCATAGCAAGATTAAACTCCTTACTGTGGTGTGCTTTAAATGCATTATTTTCAGTACTGCTGGATTACTTAGTATTTTTTTTTTGATTAGTTAGTATTTTAAAGTTTTGTTTTCTTCTAATTCCTTTATTCCAAGCCTGAAGGCTGCTTCATTCCTCAAGGTGAAGAAAATACAAAGCCCTGAAAACACTCTGGGAGACAGAAATAATTCTCCTAGCCTGTGCATAGCAAGATTAAACTCCTTACTGTGGTGTGCTTTAAATGCATTATTTTCAGTACTGCTGGATTACTTAGTATTTTTTTTTTTTGATTAGTTAGTATTTTAAAGTTTTGTTTTCTTCTAATTCCTTTATTCCAAGCCTGAAGGCTGCTTCATTCCTCAAGGTGAAGAAAATACAAAGCCCTGAAAACACTCTGGGAGACAGAAATAATCAATTTGGACTCTTTCTATTCTAGCCTTCAACAAATCAGGTTAAATACTGTGACTTAGATTTCACTGGTTATTATTTCTAGACTCAACTTTGTGATATCTGATGATGTGTTAGGAAACATAATTACAGAGAACACATTCTTTTCCCATACCTTAGATATTTCTTCTGTGTTTGTCTCACAAGTATATTAACACCCTGATTTTTATTTTCACTTTGAGAGTGGGGGGCACATAGTGGGGGATGCACTCGCCTATGTGTGCATGTGGAGGTCAAAGGTCAACAGTGGGTGTCTTCCTCTACCACTCTCCACTTTTACGATTTATTTTAATTGTGTGTGTAGATATGTGCACCTATGAGTGCAGGTGCTCATGGAGTCCAGGAGATGGTGTGGGGATCCCCTGGAGCTAGAGTTACAGGTGGTTGTGAGCCATCCAATATGGGTGCTAGAGCTGAACTCAGAGCCTCTGCAAGAGCAGCAAGTGCTCTTAACCATTGAGCTATCTCTTCAACCCCTCCTCCTTATTTTTTGAGACAGGTTCTCTCACTGAGCCTGGAGCACACCATTTCTGCTAGGCTGGCAGGCCAGTGAGCCCCCAGGAGCTGTCTGTCTCTAAGCAATGAGATTATGGGTGTATGCCACTGCATCTGGCTCTCTCATGGGTGCTGGGGAATCCACTCAGGTCCTTGTGCTTACAGAGTCAGTATTTTACACATTGAGTCAGCCCAGCCCTTGAAGTGTCCATCAGCGTCTCTTGCGTTCTTTGTACTGTGGTTCAGAGGTAAAACCCAAATTTTGGGGGTTTGTCTTTAAATTTATTTAATATGTGTGAGTGTTTTGCCTTCATGTGTATGTAAGTGTACCTATGTGGTGCAATGCCTGTGGAGGTCAGAAGAGGGTGTTGGATCCCCTAGAACTGGAGTTAAGGACAGTTGTTAGATGCCACGTGGGCACTGGGAACTGAACCAGAGTCCTCTGCAAGAGCAGCCAGTGCTCTTAATTGCTGAGTGTCTCTCTAGCCCTTTCAAGTTTTTAAATGGGGAAAATGATGTTTAGGAAACAGGTTGCTTTATACTATTTACAGTATTAAAGAAGCTCAGAAAAATAGAGCACATTTAAACTTCCTCTGTTTTAATGTTCCAAGCCCTCCATATTTCCAGGTGATCTATAAGAGAGTTATGTGATAAATATCTAGAGCTAAAATACACGTTTTTTTCAATATGCAAATATTGAAGTCTATTTTGTTGAAATACAGTTTATTTATAATCATATCAGAGCTATGCTTTACAATTAAAGATCTCAAGAAATTACAAATGACACCAATCTGATCTTCTGCCCCAGAATTCCTGCTCTCCTGCAGAGTGCTCTAGAGACACAGGCTAACTAGCATAGTTCTGCTAGGGCTTTTCTAACCTATGCACTTCATGTGGAATAAAGTAAGTGGAGTACAGGTGTCTCCCCATTTAATATAAAAGGTATCCATGTGACAGATGTTCTGAGACCTTCCCTTGGCTCCAAGATCATTTACTCCTTGCTGAGTGGACAGTCTAGAGTGAGTGACCAGCAGGTAGCTGTCTTTCTGGCACTTCCTGGGTCCTCCCTTTCTTCCCTTATAAGTATTTCTTTAATACAGCAAAATGTCTCCTTCAACTACCAAAGTATTAACGATTGTGCCTCAAATTACTTAATCATGAGAAAATACTGTAATTAACTTTTATTAAGTTATTGATGTGCTCCTCAAAGATGGGATTGTTGGATTTGAAGTTATAGCTAGACTTGGAAAAGCAGTTAAAATTGCTTCCTGGTTAAGTAGGAAATAAACTACACACTGTGTTGAAAGAGAAGACTAAAAACTAAGTAGCAGTAATCACAGGTATGTGGACTTGCACTGATTTTGATCTGGGAAAATGGAAGGTGTTGTCCATTCACAGTTGTAAGTCGAGGGCTCAGGCTTTGCACTGATTTCCCTGCTCACTGAAACATCTTTATTTTAGATGAGACAGCAGGCTGCTTGGCATGCCTGTGGAGGAGATATTACAGACACATGTGAACTGGTGCACTGGAAAGTCTACCAGGGCAAAGAAAAATGGCAGAGAACATAGAAAGCATTTCTTGAAGCACTCAAAGTTGACAGTGCTATAGTCACTGTGCAGTGGCTGTAGATCATGATTCATAATCATAATCCTGGTGAGTAAATCTTGGCAGAACAATGGCAGTATTGCATTCCGAAAGTTTTCACTGAATAGCAAGGAAAAGTTTTAAAATGCTTTTGAAGAGATAGTTCACTAAGACTAAATAAAGATAGCAACATTGTGAAGAGATATTAAGGGAGACTTCCTGACCTATGCTGAGTCCGTTTCAGTAACCAGTGCCACAGGTGGCATAGTGCTAGGTTTCTGGAGAATACATGGGCAGCCCTCAGTCAGGCCAGACTGCTGTGGGGAGGAAGTGGATGGCCTTTTACTGACTCTGGTTCACTCCTTAAAGTTTACTGTGTACTATGGCTTGGGCGTTATGAGCATTTCAGCCTGCTTTTGACTAGAAGCTCATAAAACAGTATACAACTTCATTAAACTCTGTTCTTATGGAGTACAATGGCCTGGATGACAAAAAAATAAAACACTTGGAAAACTGCCTCAGAATTAACGAGTGGGTAAGAAGGGACGGGAACCTGAGTGACTGGCGCATACATTCATACATTAGCTCTGCTTTCACCACTCCAACTGCCACCAAATAGCCTTCCCTCCAAAACTCAGGTTCTAAACCCTGTAAGGCCAATAGCTTTTGCTTAGTAGTCAAATAGTGCTTCAGTTAATGTTATACAGAGAGGAAGAAGAAAAATAAGACACTTCTTTGTTGGTCATGAAGAATTTTCTGTCTCTTTCAGAAAGTATTCTGATTGAATCATGTAAAGAAGTATGAGGTAAGTGTGCAAATATATAAGGATGAGGTGTTTAGAACTGCCTCTCCCTCGTTTAGACAGAAGTTTCTGGAAATTCTGGGAATATTGTGCTAGACAGGCAAGGTTCTTTCCTTATTTATTATTAATTTTTTTTTTTGCAGGAAGTATGTGTAATTGCATGTTTTGCAGCAGAGTGTGGAACAGGCCTGCAGATGCCTACAGTGTCACTGCTGCACATTCTGTGGCTCATGAACTGGGAAGATAACCTCCCCTCATTTCTACAGAAGATGGGTTTGGCCTCCTGTTATTTCTCTCCATGAAAATTTAATAATGGAACTAGGGGTGTCCATGATTGTGTGTGAATGAAAGGGAACATTACAATTAGCCTCCAAATGAGGAAAAGCAAGCATAAGTTCTCTGATTTCATTAAAGCAAATTGAGTTCTCTAATCTTAGTAGTTTACCTTTCTAACCAAAGACAAAGCTGGTCTAGTTCTACTGCTGTTTTCCACTACAGAACTACCCCTGCCACTTTTATTAAAAAATAACCCAAAACTACAACTGGTTTACATTCTATCCTTTTTCCACACATAGAATTCCCATAGGCAGCAAAGTAACTTGACTATAAAGCACATCAAAGAAATACACTCAGGTCCTGTAATTCAGACATAAATTTTGGTATCTCAATATTGCACACTCAATTTCTAAAATTTTCCACAGACTATCAACAGCTTGCAAATCCAATGTAATAAATATAACCTAATCTATGCAAATGTCCTAACCATCTGACTAAAGTTAGCCGGCAGATGTTCTGTTCATAAACGCCATGCTTTTGTGTGGAGTCACAGTACACCACCATCCCACAAAAGCAGTAAGTCCAAAATTGATGTCTCCAGACTCCTAAAATGAGGGAACTTCATTCAGGCATTCAGGAGCTCATCATCGGAGTGTCCAATGGCATCTGGGTTTGAAAGTGGATCCAAGTCTGCAAATAGATTGAACCAGGCTGACATGTCTTGGTTACCATTGTTGGGGGCTAGTAAAAAAAAGAGACATTAAAGAGTTTTAGCTTTGGAAAAAGATAATTTTGTACTACTTTTATGATTTTGAAGCAGATGCTTTTTTTTAATACAAGTTAAATTGGCTGACAATGGTCCATTATATCGCCTTAAGGATAATTTTGTGAAGCTAATGGAGATACCTCCTGTTTTGCTGGGATTCTACAGCTAAGTATTGCATACTGCTCTGAGAAAGGACTTGAGTATACTGGGATAAAGCAGATGTAGTCAGCTTAGAGACATTTAGAGATGATTTATAGAAGGCTCTTAGATAAGGGCTAAAATTAAATAACTTCTGTTGTTACCAAGAAAGAGATTATATTTGTAAACTCTACTTAAAATCTGTTTATTGTGGCTCCTGTCAGGTCAGTGGTGATCCAGGGCTGGTACCACTCTCAAGAGTATCTGGGGAGCACAAATTGGATTCAATGGGGGGAAAAAAAAATGACATGAAGGTGGGTGGGTAGGGAGGTGAGGGTGGATCTGGGAGGAGTTAGGAGAGGGAGAAATAGGAGCAAAATGTATTATATGAAACTCTTGAATTAATTTAAAAATAGAAGAAAATCCTGTAATACTGTAATGGCGCACACCTTTGATGACAGCACTCAAAGTGGGGGAGCCGAGACAGGTGGATTGCTGTGAATTCAAGGCCAGCCTGGTCTACATAGTGAGTTCCAGATCAGCTGGGACTACAGGCAGGCCCTGCCTCAAAAAGACCAAGAAAAAAAAATTAATACTGTAAAAATATTAGACATGGAGGCAGGTTGGGAGGGACTCCTCCTACTCCTACTATATTATACACCTGAAAGTTGTCTCTTTAATTTTTTAAAAAAATTTTAAATAACTTTTAAAAAATTTATTTTTATTTTATGTGTATAAGTGTTTTGCCTGTATGTATGTAAGTGCACTCATGTCATGCAATGCCTGTAGAGACCAGAAGAGGGTGTTAGATCCCCTGGAACTGAAGTTGCAGATAGTGTTAGTTGTCATGTGTGTCCTAGGAATCAAACCCAAGTCCTCTGGAAGAGCAGCCAGTGCTCTTAACCACTGAGCCATCGCTCCAGTACTTTTTAAAATTTTTAATTATTTTCTTGAGACAAGGTCTTACTGTGTGGCCCACGTTGGCTTCTAGCTTTCATCCTTCTGGATTACAGGAATGCATACCATGCCCAACATCCATCAGAACATTGTGATAAGATGGGTTGGCAAGATGGCTCAGCAGATAAAGGTGCTTGTTACTAGGCCTGACCTGAGTTTAATCCCCAGCACACATGTGGTGGAAAGAGAGAACCAACTCCTGAAAGTTGCCCTCTGACCTCCACACATGTGCTGTGCGATGTGTGTGCCCATACACACACAAATTAATTTCAAAACATTTTGATAATATTTTTAAATATTTTATTTACTATTTTTATTTTATGTGTATGAGTATATTACCTGCATGTATGTGAGTGCACCTGTGTCGTGCAATGCCGCAGAGATCAGAAGAGGGCTTTGGATTCCCCTGGAACTGGAGTTAAGGGTGTTTCATAGCCACCATGTGGATGCTGGGAATCGAACCTGGGTCCTCTGCAAGAGCAGTCAGTGTTCTTAACTGCTGAGCCATCTCTCCAGCCCTGATAATATTTTACAGAGTATACTGTGTCTCAGATCCAACTTCATAATTAAATTTCATCTTTCTGCTAGAATGGAAATTTTGTGTGTGTGTGTGTGTATGTGTGTGTGTGTGTGTGTGTGTGTATGTGTATACGTGTACACATCAGTAGCCTGCAAGTTTTACTGCAGCAGATACTCAAGGATATATGTTTAGACTGAAGGCTAGAACTAACAAGTCATGTAATGGTGATCTCCTACAGCCAAGGAGTCCAGAAAGCAGGGTGGAAGCCCAGAGGACAGTCCAAGAACTGAATGGAGCTGAGTCACAGTGGACAGAGCAGAAAGGCAGTGCAATTCTGAATAGTCAAGGCAGCTCTCTCTTTGCCAGTCATGGTTAATATCAACACATATCAGAGGGCCATGGCTGCACAGCAGGGTCCTAAACCTCAAGGAGTTAGAGGCTTCACTGAGTTTGGGTCCAGCTCCAATTCTGGGCACTCTGAGTTAGTGTCAGCCACATCCATGCAAGTTATGGCTTTGAGTCCTAGGTGTACCACCTACTAATGAGTCACGCTGGCAAGTTGTCCAACTTCAGGGGCCCTGTTTCCTCATCACTAGTGCATTTTATGTAATTTATGTAATAGTAAACAGAGGGGGTGTTGATAGTTATGCTGGAAGAACAAACCTCAACCTCCAACAACCTTGTAAAGTCACATCATTCCAGTCACTGTTCACCTCCACCCCCGGGAAACAGTAAATTCCATTCTGCACCATTGGTAACAATATTGTGGTAAGAATCTTTTGCATATATTTTGGTTAATATCTAGATGAATTCTGTTGGCTATGTAGTTAGGAGTGGAATTATATGTATGTTCAATTACATACATATCTCTATCTATCTATCTATCTATCTATCTATCTATCTATCTATCTATCTATCTATCTATCTATCTTCTATCTATCATCTTTCCTGTAGCACTAGCTGGCCTAGAACTCACTGTGTAAACCAGGCTGCCTTGAACTCAGAGATCTGCCTGCCTCTGCCTCCCGAGTGCTGGGACTAAAGCCCTGGGCCACCATGCCCCTCTGGTTTTTGCATATTCTTGTAAGCACATGGGTTTTGTTTTCCTTTTAACCACAATATTGCATTCTTTTGTTTGTATGTGTTACTGCTGCTGTTGTTGTTTCATGACATGATCCTGCTATATAGCTCAGGCTGGACTCAAACTTGCTATGTAGCCCATGCTGACCTGATTCATGACCCTTCTGCTGCATCCTCTGAGTGCAGGGGTCCATAAGTATTTGCTGTCCATTTGGCTTTTCTGTTTCTTTAGTTTATACTGTTTAATGGTGCTGAGGATTGAATCCATGGCCTTGCACATGCTAACTAAGCACTCTATTACCTGACCTATACATCCCTAGTCCTAAATTTTGGCTTCAGTTTGCATCCAGTAACTAATGAAGTGGAGCAGTTAATGAATGAATTAATTTCCAAGTTACTAAAATGCCCCCATATTATCAGATTTTTGGGCTTACAGTTACATAGCTTTATGCCCAGAGTAGAGGGCCTCTTCCCTCTACCCCCAAGTCATCCTCAATGTTTACAGGTAAACAGCACCTTTCTCAGTTCCTCTATTTCTTGTGTTCTCTATAAATTGAATCTTGACTGTCTGCCAAAAATCTGTGTGCTATGTTTGATCTCAGCACACAGCATTATTGGTTAAACCTTTAGGAGTGGGCTGAAGACATAGCTTAGTAATAGAACACTCATCTGCTACGTTCAGTGCCCTGAATCTGGTTCCCAACAACACACACATACCCCCCACAGAATACAGAACAAACAAAGTAAGGTTTGCCGGAATCATGGTTACCAAACATGGCAACACTTTGGGAAACCTATTAGAAGACCACATGGGAACACTTTATATATTAACTTTTTAGTTTTCCTATAATGCTGAATGTATTTCAAAAAAAAAATTGAGATAGGGTCTCACTATCTAGCTTTGGCTGATGTGGAACACACTATGTAGACTGGGCTGGCCTGGAACTCACAGAGATCCACCTGCCTCTGCCTCCTGAGTGCTGGGATTAAAGGCCTGTGCCACTACACTTGGCTTATTTCAAAATTTTTAAGTACTGGTATCACAAGAATTTGGATGCCTAAAAGACCTTCCATAGTAAAACACTGAAGCAATTTGATCACAAAATGGTTAAGTAATGACTACAAACCATAGGAAAATGTTAATCTGTACTAATAGATAATAAATGGAGAAGAAAATGTCTCTTTGCTGCAGATACTGAGGGTCAACAAAGGGAGTAAATTATATCTTCGTAAGGCTGTTTAAAAATGTGAACCTCCAGGCATGGTAGCACACGCCTTTAATCCCAGCACTCAGGAGGCAGAGGCAGGCAGATCTCTGTGAGTTCAAGGCCAGCCTGGTCTACATAGTGAGTTCCAGGACAGCTGGGGCTACAGGGAGACCCTGCCTCAAAAAGACCACAAAAAAAAAAAAAAAAAAAAAGTGAGCCATGGGTGAGCAAACAGCCCGGTGTGGTATCATCTATTTGGTGGGATAGTACCCATCTTAACAAAGCAGAAAATGCTTCAGGATGAATGAAACTTGAAGTCATTATGCTAAATGAATGCCCTGTCACCAATAAACAAATTGTATTATTCTACTTGTATGAGGTATCTAAGGTAATCAAACTTACAAAATTGGAAAGCTGGAGGATAGTTGGCCAGTGGTGGTATTCACCTGGAATCCTATCACTCAGCAGGCTCAGACAAGAGGAGAGTGAGTTCAAGGATAGCCAGGGCTACACAGACCATGTCTCAAAGAAAGGAAAGAGGAAGGAAGGGGGGGAGGGGGGAGAGGAACAAGAAAGGAAGGAGGGAAGGAAGGAAGGAGGAAAGGAGGAAGGAGGGAAGGAAGAAGGAAGGAGGGAAGGAAGAAAGAAAAAGGAAGGAAGGAAGGAAGGAAGAAGGAAGGAAGGAGGGAAGGAAGGAAGAAGGGAAGAGTGAAGGTTAGTGAAGATTACCAAGTGCAGGGAAAAGGGGTTGTTTAGTGGGTAGAGATTTACAAGATGGTTTAACGGGTTTCAGATTTACAAGAAGAGAATGTTGTTTCACTGCAATGTGAACATAAACTGCTGAACTGGTAAAGTTAAAACTGGGGCAAGTAATGGTAAGAGTGGGGAGTATAATTCAGTTGTAGAGTCAGGGAATGCCCACACCCTGGGCTTAATCCTTAGAAACTGGGGGGGGGGGGGGGGGGAAGAGGGAGAGAGATATTGATTAGGATGTATGTAAGTGCCTGGATGCATTCTTGGTCACTAGGCTTCCTGTGGTCCAAAGCACCTTCTCAATGATAATAGCATCTGGTCACCACGTGTGAGGCCCTGGATACTCAGAGGACTAAAGGAAAGAAAGGCTCCCTTGGCCTTCAAAAGATAATAACCTGTGACAGTGCTTCCTGTAGAAATGTCAGCCAGGTAGAGCTTTTGTTTTAATACTACTAAATCATCATTAACCTTTTTTTCCCCCTTCACCTCTTGAGGTAAAGACTTTAAAGTGATCCTTCTCCAAAGTCACCTGAATTTATTGATTCTTAATACAATGGGAAAAAAATTACTTACATCTTCGTTTCTTTGGGCTCTGTGAAGGCACTGGCAGGTTATCAGTGTGTTCTGATCCCTCCTGGGAGACCCAGCCTGGTTGGGGGTGGGGGTGGGG